TAATCATGAGAACTACTGTCTTGGATTGGCGGCAAAGGGAGATGGAGAACAGCTGTGGCCACACTATTGTCCAGTTGTGCTTAATGGAGAGCCACAGTGAATGGGGAATGGTAAGAGTTTCTGTTGCAGCCTACATCAGTGTTTTGCTTTGCTAGTTGGGAGGCTGTTGCAATAGTCAGGTGAGAGATGATGCCGCTCCCACCAGGGGAGTCCAATAGAACTTGTCAGAAGTGGAAGGATTCTGAATTGTGGAGGCAGATTAGATGTGGGGTGTGAGAAAAAGAAAGGAATTGGAAAGATGAAGTTAGTTGACTCCAACCAAGAAGGAGAAGATGCAGATGTCTCAGGCTTGGAGATAAGATTAAGAGTTCAGTTTCAGTGATAACTTTCCCATGTTGGTCACACATTGAGGTGGAGATGCTGAGTAGGCAGGTCAATATGAGTCTGGAGTTGGGGCTTGAGATGTAAATTTGGGAATTACCAAATTTGGGATGGTTCTTAACTCCATGAGTTCGTATGAGAACATCAAAGGTTTGAGTTTAAACAGAGAAGACAAGGGGTTCTGGGACCGAGGCCTGAGACAGACACATCAACATTAAAAGATGGGGGAGAAGAGAAAGAACCAGCAAAGAAACTAAGACCATCCAAGTGAGGTTGGTAGTAGGACCAACAAAATATGGTGCTTTGGAAGCCAAGAAAAGACAGTGCAGGAGGACAGGGAGTGATGAACTCAATCAAATACCACCTACATGGCATGAAGACAGAGAGCTGATCCTTACTTTTAGCAATATAAAGGTCTTTTTTGATCTTGACAAGAAGTTTTGTTGAAGGCTGGGATAAAATGCTGATGGGGATGGATTTAAGAGACAATGGAAGGGAAGGAATTGAGTAAGCCAGCATGGACAAGCCTTTTGAGGGTTTTTGCTAGAAAGGGGATCAAAGACACAGGGCAGTAACTGGCGGGGGCAGGAGGACCAAGAGAAGTATTCTGGAGATAGGAGATATTTCAGTGTGTTCATATGCTGATGGGAATGATCTAGGAGGAGCCAAAGATGGTAGGAGAGAATGGGGAGATTTGGTGGAATGATGTCCCTGGGAAGGCCAGTGAGCCTAATACCGCATAAATGGATGGACCAGCTTATTTGGAAACACAGATTTTTAATCTGTAATAAGAGGTAGAAAGGCCAGGTATGTGGGTGCAGGTGCTGTGGAAATTCTCATTTCTTACTGCTTCATCTTTCTCATTAAAATAAGAAATAAGATCATCAGTTGCAGGTGTGAATGAGTAGTGGTTAGAGGTTTTAGGGGGTGGAGCAGTTGGCTAGGAGGAGGGACGTGAGAGCAAAGGGACTTGGGGGGTGTGGGGCGCCTGCCAGGTGGCATCAAAGGTCCACTTGAGGTTCATGGTCACGAATATAAAGTTTGACCAGGCTGCATGCCTGTGGTGAAGTTCAGTTTTGAACCACCTCTGCAGAGAATCGCTGCTCCCAGTAACAAAACTGATTTGCTTGTCTGTCATCTCCTTTCATTTTTAAAATAATTTTTCATTGATGTAGAGAAAAATATACAAATATATTCATTATTTCTTTTTTATTTTTGTTGTCTCTCCTATGAGTGGTGATAAATGGGAAATTACCACGTGATAAGAGAGAGGAGAGCAACCTTTGATAATCAACCCTGAAAAATCAAAAGCGCCTTCCAGTTCTCTCTTGATGACTTTCAGATCCGATCACTGGTCTGTAGTAACCATTTTGTGCAAAACGCTGTCTTCCGCATCAAAGGGGTGAACATAAGGTCAGGTTTCTTCTTTGTGCCAGGGAAAATGATTTGCCAGTGTTTCCCATGTGACTAGAGCCCCAGACCATCTCTAGGTCCAAGTATTGCACCGTGAGCCTGGACGGAATGCGCTGCTTTGGGCTCAGTGAGCGTGCCCAGCTGGTGCAAGGGTTGTCCTGTTCTTACCGGAAAGTAGAGGTCACGTTCTCTCCCTCTCCAGTCTCAGGAGCTGCCCTGGCCCTGCACCCGCCCCTCCCTGCCAGCTCTGCCCAGGGCCCTGGAGGGTGACAGTAAAGTCTGGCACAATCACTCCCAGCTCCCTTCTTGCTTTTCAGGGTTGGGGAGCTGAGTATCATCGCCAGGATGTCACAAGCACCCCCTGCTGGATTGAAATTCATCTTCACGGACCGCTGCAGTGGTTGGATAAAGTTCTCACTCAGATGGGCTCTCCTCATAACCCGATTTCTTCAGTATCCTAACAGTCATGTCTTAAGCGACATTTCTATAGAGTAGATGCTATTGCAAGCAGTGGCTTATATCATTTCAAATTTGCGACTAACTGAAATTTCTAAATACATGTGTAAATACATATAATGTATACTATTCATATTTTTTTATCACCATTTGTTTTGCGGTTTCTAGTTAACCTGGTGCCACTACAGTTGGATTAGAAAGGCAGGTTTTTCGTGCCTGTGCTGTAATAAGCAGCAGCTTCTCTTGTGGAAGGAAACAAATGAAAGGCAACAGTGTCAACAGTATTTGAAGGGTGTTGGCAGGGTAAAAGCCAGCTTTAGTCAACCACATCACTCTAAAGCATGCTGTGTGGCCTCACAGAAATAATGAAACTGTTTATATAGCAAAAATCAGGTATTAGCAGCACTAGAGCAAATAACACTCTCAGATAAAACAAAGCAGTCCAACTCATATACTTTAAATGATGTCATGTTTAGTGCTATTGGCAAGAAAAAAAAAAACAAGCTTGTACAATGAATTATGTGAGATAAAGCCACAGGAACTTTATTTCTGAAACTGACATACCTATAGCTGTGCTGGTATTAACGGTACATTTTTAAAAAATTTAAACTGTGATTGGAAAAGAAAGAAGCTGTGAAGCTAAGCATCCATGTTGCCTCAATCTACCACTGTAAAAAGTTAGTCTACTATGGGCAAATAAATACGAAAATACCATGAAATGAACTGTTAATATATTCCCAAAGTATAAGACCAGAACTTAGTCCAAGAACCACCCAGGGAGATTCCTGCTTTCCACGTAGGAAATCAGGTTCCTGTCGTCCCGGCTGTTCCTGGCAGGCAGTCCTGCAGAGTAAGTCTGTGATGTCTTCAGTCTTGCGTCCAGAAGCAGCAGGTGAAACAAAAGGGTGGGACAAAGGCAAGCATCGCACGTTGACGTACACCTTCTCACCCTCCCATGTCAAAGTCTTTAGGAGAGGGTGCTCCTTTTGCCACATTTTCCTGCCTCTTGGCAAATATTGATTACTCGCAGATTACTAAAGCAGTGGTAAAGACTTTGAGAAAATCTACACACATTTTTGGATCAAATTGATGAGTTATTCAACTTAATGTCTCTGGTAATTAAATGATCTACTGGTCAAACCTGGTAGCCTCTGATTAAAAAAAACTAAAGTCTCATACCTAGAATAAATTCCCAAATAAAGTGATAATAATTTCATAATCCCCCATGACTTCTGGGGAATAGCAACACTGAAAATAGGACACCTTTTTAAAATATACACAATATTAAGAACCTTTTTTTATTTTCCTTTGGGTGATAGAGGAAAATCCCCCAAATTTTTAGGTACTTTCATATATTTATATATATATAAAGTTGCCACCCACTAAACACAGCATTGCTTGGAAAAATATTTCACATCCTCTTAAAAATGTATAATTTAAGGTGGCAGTTAGACTTACAACAGACGGCACTTCAGTAATCCAAGAGGTTTCTTCATTTATACATTTTATCTCAACTCTTTCTAGCATTAGTGCACATTGTTTCTCATTAAATTGTATTGTAGTTGTTTCTCATTAAATTGTATTCAAGGTAGAAATGATCATGTGAAAAAGATATATGAGTGAGCTACTACTGTCACCTCTTGTAATGACTAGCGGTATCTAATAGAAACTTTCATATATACAATAGGATATAATTATTACATTTTGCATTAAAACTAGGTGGCCCATTTAGTGTTTAGAAAAACCTGTAGTTTATTGGTTCATCAACTATGTATTGTGCACCTGTAGGTGCCAGGTACAACGTTAGGTACTGTGGAATCAAATGTAAACAAGAGACAGTCCCAGCTCTCATGGAGCTGAGAGTCTAACAGTGTCCGTTTGTAGAGAAATTTTCATGTTTCAGAACTTTTAAAATAAAAGAAAGCATGTGACCTTTTGCTTGAAAAAATGTAATTGATTTCTTAATTATAATATCTCTATTTTGAAATTTTTATTGCCCTTCTCTTCTGAGCAATCAAGTAATGAATTCCTTGGATAAATGCTACTATTCTTCCAGGTGTCAAAGTTGGTTTTTTTTCCTCCCCTTGCTTCCCTATTTTCTGACAATTTTCCCATCTCCTCTTTTGCTGGAAAAGGCATCAATATGGTGAGTCTCGTGGGTACCATTCCATGGGACAGCTTCGAGCACACACAGCTTTGGCTCCAGAGATCAAGCATAGCTGTCTTGATCTCTCCAGAAGCTGTCAAACTCATCTTCTACCTTTACAGAATTAATCAGAACAGGTGATTTATAAATGACATTAAAAACAAAAAAAACAAGAAACAAAAAACTTGGATGTCCATGCAGCTTTGGGAAACCAGGACAAGATATTGCAGTGAATCTGAGTTTTCTGTGAAAAATAAACTATTAAATTGGTACATACGATCATCGCCAGTCATGTCTCACCAAAAGCTTTTATGAGGATACCTGTGAAATACAGAGAATTTAGAATTGATGGGAAGTTAACCCTTTAGTCATTGTAACATAGTCATATTTTAATCAGCTTTTTCTTTTGTTACCAAGACGTCTTAAAAATTGTAATGCAGTATTTGATTTCAAGCTTCTAAATGTGTAATGTGCACTCATTCCTTGAGGTGGACAATCCAAAAAAATTGAATAGCATAATTTTCAGGATAACTAACAAAGCAGACATGCTAAGCCTTTAAATACGTCAGCACTGCAGAACACGTTTAAGCTTGCCCTGGACATGGACTGTGCAATAGAGAATCCTGTAGTAACATTTTGGCCTGCTCAAGAGACCCAGAACATTTATCAAGTTGTTCAAGCCAGTTTTTTTTTTTTCTTGTTAAAAAATTGAGATGTGAAAAGCTTAACTAGATGATATTTTAATAGTGGCCAGTACTTTGGAACTATAAAGATGTCACTACTTAACACATGTACTTTATGTTTTGTTAATTTTTTTTTTTTTTTTACACTCAGTATAAATCAGGAAAAGTTGGCTAACCACCTGGCATTTAGAATCCTCTGTGTCCTTGTCTTCTAAGGACATGGATACCCCCATAACAGCAACAAAAGCACTTTATAATATCACTTGATAGACTTTAAGCTACTGCTTAACTTTGAATGTGTCCCAAATATTCGGTATACATATTCAACAAATAAAGCAAAATATAACGTGCATTTCAAATTTTATCTTTCCCTGTTATGATTTAACAGCTGAACTGTATGACAAGATTAGGTGATCCTGGCATATGTTAAAGATAAGTTCAAATTAATGTAAAACAAATCAGCAGCAAAAAAGAAACTATTTCTATTTGAGTGAAGTAATGCTTTTGCTTACAGTAACTTGGCTTCAATTATCCATCAAATCTGTACTTAGGCTGTTATCTGATCATTTATAATAAAGAATACTGTACCTGTATGTCTTTTGGCTCATTTTTCCTATGAACCTTGTAGAAGGATTTACGGCACATGGGTCTGCAGCTCCTTAAGACAATTCATCTTAAACCATCCTGTTTTGAAAATGTCATATTTTTTAACTCTCACATGCCATAGGGAAATTAGATAGTGGTTTTGAATTAAACATCTTGGAATAACTGGCATTAAGTATGGAATCTGGAAGATACTTTGCAGTAATTTTAGAGAGGATATATGTAGAAAATTTTTTTCTAGATAGTTACAAATAGCGAGTGATAACTGCAGTTATAGGAGAGAATGAACACTTTTATTATTGTTAACATCTGTACATTGCTATGTATTGCCTGTTAGAAAGGTACTAAAAGAAGGCTAGTGAGGGAAAACTAAGATGAAATCCAGGAGAAATAGGAACGTATCTAAAATTGTAAATTCTCAATTCCCTACATTTATATTTTCTTCTAGTCTTAAAATGGAGGAGGGAGTATCTGTAAACACTTCTAGAAAACTTTAATTAACTAGCTTTAATTAACTTGATCAGGATTTTCCATTTTTTTTTCTTTTAAGCAATGGAGCCCTTCATTCAAAAGCATTATTTTGTAGACCTCTATAAGATAAACAAATGAAAGATAAGCTATTCTGGTTCAGATAAAGGTGGGGATCGTGAAGCATCCAGTTTAAACTGCAAGTTTTTGGAGAGCAGTGATCCTATCTTGTCTTTGCATCTCCCCCTGGTTCCTGACCCTGTTCTTGAATCTGATATTTGGTATTGGCATTTAAAATACTCGTACACATTTTTTAATAGATCATGGTATAGACATAAGGTATTGTCTTTAAATATTAGCCCATCTTAGAGAAGAAATATTTTCATCACCTGGAAACCTCCACATATTCATCAGATGGTTCTTACGCATCAGCAAGCACTGTAGACACAATGACAAATAACAAAGCTGCTGCCTTTACGGAGCTTACCAGTTTTTGGAGGAAGATGAACAAGTAAACCAATAAAATTAAGTGTGCTATCAGTTGTGACAAGCTGCAGGGGACCACAGAGTGACATCTTCATCAGGCCGTGGGTGGGTACCAGGGAAGGCTTCTGGGCTGATCCAATCTACCTTCCTTCCTGGCATTTCCCTCAGCAAGTCATCCTGGACGTTCCTAAGCCAGGTTAAGTGCCTGTGCTGTGCTCCTGTAATACTTTATGACCGTCAGTGGTCACATCAGTTACCAATTCCTGCACCACATTGTTTACTTATCCATCTCTCCACCAAGCTGGAAGGGCTTTAAGGAAGGGGCTGTATCTATTCATTTTCAGCATTTTCCAGATATTGTTTGTTTAGAAAGGCATTTTGGGTTCACACTGTAAAGGCAGAAATGTTGTTGGTTTCCAATTCTTTTTTAAAAATCAGCATTTCTTCCTCTTCAAAATGAAAATATGTAATTGCAAGCTTCCAACTGCATGTCAAGTGACCATGCACAGCTGGTGAGGACCAGAAAAGCATGCTCATGATTCAGTTTGGAAATTGTTCTTCAGCTGCATAGCAGTACCGAGGGAAGGTAACTTTGACAGTTAAACAGTTAAAATTGCTTTTATTCTAAACTATTTATTGTCAAAATGTGAAGTTTAGTAAGACAAGAAGCATAAAGAATTTCAATGTTGTATTCACCAAGTTCACAAAAAGACACCAATTCTGGAAGTTTATCTCTGCATGATCATAGATGGTTCCATTGTATGCCTGCATCTGATAAAAATGTTAGGTATAGCCTCAGAATGACTTTAGTAATCTACTGAATACTGATGTTAAATTGAGCAAATGTAATGAAAATTATATTCAGTTTGGCTTTTAAGCCAAAAACTATTCACATCTGCAGTATGTTATTGAGAGATAATGTTTGCAAGTGGCAAGCTAACTTCTAATCTCATCATTTAGAAAGGAAAAAAACCTAAAAAATACGCAAATAACCCACTGATGCTTAAGCACAATTTCAAGCATCATGTTGTAAAAGTGATTTGTCTCTTTTGATATGATGAAAGTTTAATCTGTACTCTCTTATACATTCGGTCTTCGAGCTAAACATAACCCATTTTACAATTCATTTGTTAACAAATTTGGTTTTCCTAACACGATTATTTTAAAACAAATTAAATATAAGCCAGGTGTGCTGGCAATCGTTGTAGTCCCAGCTACTCCAGAGGCTGAGGCGGAAGGATCTATCTAACTCAAGAGTTCAAGACCAGCCTGGGCAATCCCTGTCTCTCTAAAAAAATTCACTCACTGAATGAATGTGGAAAGTGCAATTTGTCCTAATATAAATATTTATGATAATACAATGTTTAAAACATTGATGCATAATAAAATACTTTTAACTTAATCATTTCTTTTTCACATACCATGAAAAAATGTTAAATAGATGATATTTTTTCTAAGGGAGTTTGCGAGATTATAGATAACTATCAAAGAGGTTTGAAAACAAAAGTTGGCAAAGCTGCTCTTTGTTTCTCCTGGTCTGGTATTAGAAAGAAAGTAAAAAGCTTAGTGCTTTAAGAGTAGAAAAGAACTAAAAGGAGTGGAAAGAACTTTGGTGAAACAGAATGATCCATTAGTACCGTATCAATAATTCACAACGGCTTGAAGTAAAGGAACGTAGTAGCAGGGTAGAAATAGGCCTGAGCTTGGAGGTAAAAGGCTTTGCATGCTAACCTAAGACATCTGGACAACAGGTTCTTAAATCTACAACAAAGCATTGCTACTAGTTAGTAGTTAAAAAGCAGTAATGTTACCAACCATGACAGAACCCCTTGGGGCCTCTTGAGTCATTCCCTGTCCTAGCTCCAGGCATGCTTTGGAAAATCCTGTTGGAAAACATCTTTCTGAATTTGGGTATTTAAGGCTCCAAATTATCCCTCTGTGTATAAACCTTACAGCTAAGAGTTTGGTTGGGGTTTAGAAAGCTTGGGGTAAGGAGCAGAGGGCACTCAACATACAATAAACATTACCTGTTCCAACTTGGGGGGAATGATTTTTTGATTCACAGAGTATGCAATCCTTTCTCTTACATTTAATTACAATTAATATAGCATAAAATGTAGTTGGCCACTATTGTTTTTAAATAAGAAAAGCAAGATAGCAGTGCTTGCTTAGAAACCTGATGAGATCCATCCCCCGACCTCTTGAGGACTGATACTAGTTTCTTGTTGCTGCTGTAAAAAATGGCCACAAATTTAGTGGCTTAAAAAACCACAAATTTATTCTCTTACAGTTCTGGAGGCCAGAAATCTGTCTCACTGGGCTAATGTCAAGGTGTTGGCAAAGCTGGTTCCTTCTGGAAACTCTAAGAAAGAATTTGTTTTCTTGCTTTTGCTGGCTTCTGGAGGCTGCCTGCATTCCCTTGGCTGGTTACCCTTCTCTTGAATGCCTCCAACCTCTTGCTTCATCACATCTCCTCATCCTCTTTGCAGTCATCTTCCTCTGCCTCACTTGTAGAAGGACACCTGTGATGACATTCAGAGCCCATCCAGATAATTCAGGATAACCTCCCCATCTCAAGATCACATCTGCAAAGCCCTTTTTGCTATCTAAGACAACATCCACAAGTTCTTGGAATTAGCACATGGATATCTTTGGGGGCCACTTTTCATCCTACTGTGAAAAAAGGGGAAGAATGCTATCAGGGACTATTAGCAGGCTCCTAGCTACTAGCCATCTTTCTCACTAACTTTAATGTATCTTCCTAATCTTTTCTTTTCTAAAGCCCCTTACTACCTCCTGCACACTATATTAACAGATGACTTCTCTTTTAACTTTGCTGGAAAACAGACACTGTGAATTCCTTTATGTTCTTATTACTACAAATACACCACACCTACGTTTATTGTGTCTCCTTTCCTCTAGCCTCCAATGAACGGGCATAGTTCATCACATATCCCATCTGCCATATTTTGTTAGAGAAGTCATAAGGCCTGCCCAGATTCAAAGAGGTGGAAAAATAAAATCTAGATCTTATTGGACCACACTGCATAAGAGCATGTGGGATGGGTGACTGCTTAGACATCTCTGAAAAGCACGGTCTGCCTTACCTACCTTGAAAGCATTTGCACAGCTAATATTTAAAATCAGAGTAATCGTATACAGACCTGTAAGAAATAATAAAATCTAAATTGTTTTAAGCCACCAAATTTTCAGGTCGTGTTATGCAGCAATAAATAACTATTGACAGCTAGATGTGTCAGTTATTTACAAGAAAATTGCATAACAACCACCCCAAAACTCTGAGGTTTACAGTCATAAACATTTATTATTGCCCACAAGCCTACAGGTCAATTGGGTGGTTCTGTAAATCTGGGCCAGGCTTGGCTGATCTCAGCTGGTATCAAATGTACCTGTAGTCAGTTTGCAGGTTGGATGGGGAGACAGCTCATCTAGCATAGCTTCACTCACATATCTGGCTGTTTGCTATTAGCTGTACAACAGAGGTGACTAGACCATGTATCTCTCATTATCCAACAGGCTAGGCTGGGCTTGTCACCATGGCAGCTGTGTAGGATTCTAAAAAAACAAGTGGAAATGTTCAAAACCTTCAGAAGTCTACTCAGAGCTGGCATCTTGTTATTTTCTCTGCATTCTATTGGCCAAAACAAGTGACAAGGCCAGAACTCCAGATTTAAGGGGTTGGTAAATAAACTCCGAGCTCAAGTGGTAAGAGGAGCTGCAAAGTCACATGGCAATGTCATGAGTACGAGGGGCAAAAAATTGGGGACACACGGCAATAAATCTACCCAAAATAAACCTTATAACTTTATTGATAGTTTTATATAAAGTAAAAAATAAATTTCCACTGTGGCAGATAATAATTACATTGTGTTGAATATTGTCCTATTCCTATCCAAATTCATGAATGGGCTGCTACCTTATTCTAAAAAATATACTGGGTGAAAGATTCTGAATCTCTCAAGTACGCACTCTAGGGTTTGACAACTAATAATCATCACAAAGTTCTTATAAATATATAAATTCAAACCCTTTTCATTCAGCTCTCACTGGCCTACTTCTTTTCTTTCCTGTTTCTCTTATTCCATCTGAAGAAGCATAAGCTGATTTTTTTTCCACCATAAAAGTTAACTTAAGCTCCAGCAATTCAATAAAGCTCTTAACACTGTAAGTGTGAGAATAAACTAACAGTGAATAACAAATAATAGATGTATTTGTCTGCATTCAGTGAAAAGAAACTAAAGAATTAAGGAAATTAGACAACTCGAAGGTCAACTGGACTTTAATGAATAATTTTGGTAAAAGCATTTTTGAACAGATACTTGGGTATAAAATACATAAAAAATGAACAAAAACATTCTTTCTCTCCATAAGTACTTCTTAGAACAGCCATTACTAAATTTAACTTGATATATATTTCAAAGCTTAAAAACCAACTAACAAATTTTTGCACAGTTAAACTTGAGACACATACATTTATTATCCTAACATTCGATAGACTCTCTTGATGTTTGATTTGTTATTGGTAATTTGCCTTTTAAAGTTTTTCTAGGAGAAAATATAAGAAAAAGTATCTATCAAGATTACCTATCATTTTTTAACATTACTTAGGAATAACACAGTCTTAAAATAGCTCAATTTTAAAAACAATGACAAAATGCTGAAATGCTATTCTTATTTTCAAGATCTTCTTTTTGAAAAGGATTTCTTTTTCATTTCTTTAACGAGAATGAGTATAAGAAAAGTAATTTTGTCCTGGCACTGGTGGGCTGAGATCTACACTGTTCACAAATTCAACACACAACAGTGTCTGCTTTAAAAGAGATCAACACTAATAGGTAAGATGAAATAGGCCAACTGTAAGAGATGCATTTACTCTAGTGCACTGAGTTAATTCCTCTCTTAGATTTTACCAGCATATCTCTGAAAAGAGATGCACGTCCTAATTTCACAGATATTAAATAGTGATCACTTTCCTAATATAAAATATGCTTACCTCTTTGACAGCTCCAGTCTCAACTGCAAAGAAAGGTTGTAACAAGAACCTGATTCTAGGTGCCTCAACTACATGTTATCACTACAAATAGCTATCAGTACTTCTTAAGAGGAGTGTTATTGGCATTGTGAGTGAGATAATTCTTAGTGTGTGGAACTATCCCGGACACTGTAGAACATTTAGCATTCCTGGCCCACTCACTGAAAACCAGTAGTTTTCAAGGTCACTGTGACAACCAAAAAACATATTTATACATTTCGAACTGTGCTTTGATGAGAACCACTGAGCTAGATGATTCAAGATTAATATCTATTAACTTCATGACTTCCACAGAAAGTAACTGCTTCATTACCTTCAGTAACAATGACTGAAGAGGAACATATTTTAAACAACATTGTAATTAAATGTTATTTTGGAAAGATAAGCTGCTTTCTACAAACTCATGATGATATGAAACGATTAGATGCACAAAGTGCAATACTTATTTATCCCCAAATGCAACACACATTTACAGGAAAATGTTTATGTTCCATTAACATATATTACGCCATTTATCTTTAGTATAAAAATATGTTCATCTATCACAATAAAGTAAGAAACATGTAGATGTTCGTGATAAGTTCCCTCATACCGATGCTCCTGGAAACTGCTGCTGTCTTTGCTCCAAAACTTGCTGATTTAATAGTTGTTGCTGCTTCTGTAAAAACTGCACTACCTCTGGACTTCTCAGTAATGACTAAAAAAGAAAAAAGAAAAATATTAATAGCATTATTCTTATGTGATTAGATTGTATTCATGCTATGGAGTTACTGGGATGTGTCCCTAAACAAGATAGAGTATGCTTACAAAACAAAACATGCCTGAATTGAATTCACTTTTGCATTTGATGCACTACAATTAAGCTGAAAACTAATAATAAAATTTGATGTCATATACCAATACACCTAAAATCTAAAAATAATGGGTAAAGCATGATGTTATTACTGACTGTGCACAAAAGAAATGCTTTTGGCATGATATGCTGGCAAATATATTCTCTTGAAACATATGAGCAAAGAGCTAAGAATAGCACTGACCCAGTATTATAGCAAGAAGAAAATGGAAATGAAAGGGGGCCACATGTGAAAATGGCAGTTAAATGCCAGTTTGTACATACATATAAACTAGTACTGGAATTCAAGTTTCTCCAACTAAGTCTTCAGGAAGAAATTAAAAATTATATGTGTGTGTACAGGTATGCATGTATATATATAAGGGGTGTGTATATATATACACAAACACACACACACACAAATATTAGCACACTACCAAAATTTCAGGAAAGAATACAGCTGCTCCAAAACAATCAAAACATTTTTATACACTTACCATTTTTAAATATAACATAACAAATATAATAGACTATGGTTAATGTTTTATTATAATAAAATACTTACATAAACTGATAAAAGAAAAAAACTTTTGGCCTCCATAAGGTGAAAAAAGATAAACCAACTACAGTGGAAATATTGTCATTAAATACTGATTTTAAGATTATATGTATTATAGTACATTTTCTATTTATTAAATAGTTTCGTTTAAAAATCACTTGGAAAGACTGTTCAACCTTCTACTAAGTAAATGTATAATAATCCATTTAGCTGCTATTAGACTGTTGGACATTAGGTTGTTTCAACTATTAATATTTTACTATTTATGATAAATACATTTCTGTTAATATCCTTAGGCTTAACTCTATCCATATTTAGGATTTACTTTCTGTGAATGTCCTCATATTAAATGTGATGTCTGAGTCAAAAGGGATGGCCATTTTTAAGACTCCTGATACATACTGCCCAATAGCTTTGTAAAAGTGCTGTACCAATACATAATGCCATCAACAAAACGACAGTGCCCATTTCATGGAACCCTCAACATTATGGTGCATAATTATTTAAATTTTCACTTATTGTTATTATTTGTTGTGTCATTTTAACTGATAATTGAATACCTTTCCATATCATTTAATACTGTGGTCCCCAAACCCCAAGCCATAGACCAGTACTGGTCCATAGCCTGCTAGAAACCAGGCCACACAGCAGGAGGTGAGTGGTGGGAAAGTGAGCAAAGCATCGTATGTATTTACAGCCACTCCCCATCACAGGTCTGACTGCCTTATATCAAATTTATAATAGAGATTCTTACTGGACATTGGTCTAATTATACCTCACCATCATTAAAGCATTATTCCATAAACCCCTGAGTTCAGTACAAAAGTCAGTTTTAAAATCCCACCTTTGATCATTCCACAATGTATATATACATTTATCAAAATATCACATTGTACCCTATAAATACAATTATTATTTGTCAACTAAAAATTATTTAAAAAATGAAGAAGTAAATAAATGAATAAAAAAGAAAAATAAACAAACTCCCATCTTGCTCAGATATTCAATGAGGTTTAGTCAATGAAAAGAATAGGATTAAAAGTATTCTTAGAGTCTGCTCTTAGAGTCCTGGGAGAGCATTTTTGAGATTCCAGTGTTTATTGGCAACGAGGCACAATTCTATTCTGATGACCGGCTTAACAAGTTTTAAAATCTTAAAAATCTAAATAGTTCCATTTCTAACAAATGACTTTTGTTAATAGATTTGTTACTACTTTACAAACAGATATTTACCAGTCTTTTTTGATTTAACACTTGTTCTAAAAGAGTAGGTCTTGCAGGACGATCCCCAAAAGATCCTGTTCTTTGTTTAACAATGGAGAGTAGGTTATCTGCACTTTCCTGGGATAAATGATAAAAACAAAAATGCGATTAACAGTTAATATAATAATCCATGATTACAGGCATTTCAATGATGTCATGAACTGGTCATTGCTTTTCTTCCTTCTTCTTGCCCAGTCCCTGTGAAATTTTGGGAAAGCCCCTTGTTATCACAGGCAAGATATTGGCAGTTAACTTATGCAACACTCCTTTCTCACTCCCTCTACCTCCACAATTTCCAACCTAGGTTCTCCACTCTCTTGAAGGGTCTCAAAATTCATAGTGGAGGAGAAGTGGAGGAAGGGAGGCGAAGAGTTACTTGTGAGCTATTTTCAATATTACAAAAAATGCCAAGTGGAATTGAACATTCTCTTCATATAAAGCTATCCAGGCCAAAACATAGAGTCTGCTTACCTTTGAATGGAATATATGAACTCAGAGGCAATTTATACATCGCTTAATGAGACACTCTAATTGATAGCTTTTTGCCCAATTAACGACCAAAACAAATGGGGAGGAAGGAGTAAAATACTGCTTAGAGAAGTAACCGATAACCAAAGCTTTCAAAATTTGTAAGTCACTAGGAGAAAAATGATAAACTGGCTTGAAAAATCTAGAAAGCACTGGTATAGTTTCCAACTACTGGTATGGACAAAACAGGTAAGTCCTAAAATGAGTTAAATAACCTATTCAAGGCCACAAAGCCAGCAAATAACAAAGCAGAGTTGTGCAGCCTTAAGTCCAACTGCAGAGCTTTAACCTTCAATGAAGTTCAAATCAAACAATCAAAAAATTTTCTGAGACTTATGACCCATTATCATTCATTTTTTTTCCTCAGGGGTACTAAGAAAAGGAATAGTGAAAAAGCCCAGACTTCACCACTATACAATATATACATATATTGGAATTTAACTTGTAACCCCTAAATCTATTAAAATTTTTAAAAAAGGAAAAATAAATTTAAAAAAATGTATTTAGTTTAAAAAAACTCACAAAACTATATTGCCTATGATAGTGTAGCTTAAAATCACCTTTCAACAAATGAATTGATAGGCTCTTTGTGTATACCAGAAATAAAATTGATTTTTAATAAAGAAAAAAAGGGGGGGGGTCACGAGAACAGGGTACTAAGAACAAGGAAACTGAGAACACAGGATTACGTATAGGGGTACTGAGAACTGGAGACTAAGCATGGGAGTACTGGGAACAGGGTAATAAGTACAGGGGTACTGAAAACAGGCTACTGAGAATAGGAGTGCTAAGAACAGAGTGCTAAGAATAGGGTTAACTGAGAAAAGGACACTAAAAACAGAGTACTAAGTATAGGAGTATTTAGACTAGGGATATTGAGAACTGGATACTGAGAACAGAGTACTGAAAACAGGAAGAGATTACCTTGTCCAAAGTACCAATTTCATCTAGATTCCTAAGTCTCTGCCTGCTCCTTTAGCAATGAACCGGGTTAATTATTTACTATCCGCCCTCCAGCCCATATCCAAGATCTCTGAAATGATGGCTCTGCTGATGGCACCTCATTTTTACTGAAATTTATTCACCTAACACGTGGGTGCAACAAAACTGTTACGGCTTTGCACATGTTCCCGTCAACTTTTTTTTTTAGGGCAAGAACTCATTAATTCTCAGCCACTAGCCCAGCGGGTGGGAAGGCTTTGGAATCTGAGTTTGCAGCAAGATGGGGTTTCTTCTTCCATTTTCCACCCTCTACGGCCCCAGCTAAGGACTGATACCTCCAGTTTGACGTTTCCCGCGCTGCCAGCAGAGGCTGTCCCACCACAGTTCAGGGCCTGGTCGCTCTTCTTCTTTTTATACTTGTCCTTGTACATCTTGTTACGGTGCTTTTTGCACATCCAGGGCTTGCGCTGCTTGGCCACCTGGCTCGTGGTCTCGCTGCAGCCCTCATAGGTGCAGGTCTTGCTCATGCTGCTCCCGCCGCTGCCCCGCCTCCGGGCTCCCCCGCTGCTGCCCTCGCCCCCCGAGTGGGCCTCCTCGTCCTCCAGATCCTCCAAACTAGCTGTGCTCTCACCTCCCCCCGGGGGGTCCGAAGTGTCCAGCAGGTCGGCTTCGTCCTCCCCTGCCTCCTCCTCGCCATCCCCCGACACTTCACACAGGTACCTGACGGGCTTGCTCGCCCCGGCGCTGCCCCCGGGGGCCGGGGCGTGCCTCAGGACCCCCTCGGCCGCAGCCTCTTCCTGCCCCCCACAGGGGTGCATCACCAGCAGGGTGAACTGCGAGGCCGGCGCCGCGACAGGGGCCGGAGTCAGGGCCGGAGCCGTAGCAGGAGCCAGGGCCCCGGGGCCGGGCACAGCGCCGACGGCGCCCGGCCCCGCACTCTCGGCGACACCCTGCACCTCCGTGCTGCCGAGACTTGGCCGGGACCCAAGAGCCCAGACTTTCACCACCTGCCGGACGCAACGGACTTCACAAATCAAACACTGCACAAGCGAGAGAAAAAAGCGCCAGACCCGCGAAGGCTCTCCGACTGCGCCTGCGCAGCCGCAGCCCGCGCGTAAACGTCCGTACGCCGGCTCGCAGACTCTCCGGGAAGCCGGCGCTCTGAGGGGCGGGGCTGAGAGCAGACCCGGCGGGACTGACTGCGCATGTGCGGCCGTGTCGGCGCTCAACGCGAAACGCCACCGATGTTGGGACCGCAGAGTTGCAGTGAAGCTTTGCACTGCTTGCTAAGGTAGCGTTCTTTAAAAATTTTTTTTGCCTGAACCTACTGTATCTAAAACTTTTCAAAGCACTTTTCTACTGGAATTTCACTGTGTAAATTAAGATTAGATTGTTCCTGAGCAATGTGATGACTTGTGGCGTTAGGACGCTAATTTCAATGATATTTCTCCCCAAACTGCCTGAAATGGGAGCTTTGAAGCTGGGACTGCTAGAGATGTCACAACCTGGAGCCACTAGTTTGCAGTCGATGAGGGCAGAGGTGACATATTTGAAAATAGCGGAGTGGAGAAAAGGTGAGCCAGAACTTCGGCCAAGTTGTATTTATGTTGAGGGATAAATGATTTACTCTTTATAAATTTGATTTTCTCACTCGGAAACTTATTTGATTTTTAATTCTTGCCCTTTCTAAGGCCTCTGAGATAAGTCTTAAAGTTCTCATTAAACACAATGAAAGTGTGTGAAAAGGAACATTGAATGACAAATGTTTAAAAAACAATGAACGATCTATCGTTTCTATTTGCGTAGAATCGCTGGTTGTTAAATCTTGACCTCCCCCTAAACCCAGGAGGGAACGGATCCTGCCCTCTTCCCTTAAGTGGATGTTTTCTTTCCATTTACTCCTTTCTTTGGCCTAGTCAGGTTTTCCATTCCACCTACTAGAAAGTAATGACTATTCATTAAATGATAAATCCGTTCACACTAAGACGTTTGGGAGTTGATGTGTGGATAAATCAGTTATATTTCAAATACAGGCACAGTGAAGGGAGAGGGTTTGGAATCAGACCCGGGGTACTGTACTGTGTGAGCAGAGCAAGTTAGTGACAGCCTCTCTGAGTCTCAATTTCCTCATTGGTAAAATCCATTAGTTAGTGGTGAGCTAGAGCCAACTGATGAGACCTGGTTGTTAAAACAAAGGTTAGAAAACTCAAAACTCATCACTTTCTAATTATTTTACTACATTTTACTGTTAGTCTGTGCTCTTAAGGCTATGTCTATTGTGTCTGTATATGGAAATACTATTGAGTGGTGTGATACTGCACATCTTTTCCCAACTCTGTCTTGAATCTGTTGCGTTGATTGCTTGAAAGTATATATGTTAGTAAGTATGTTGATTGCTTGAAAGTTTTGGCTATTACAAATAATGGCAGTAGATTTTATTATCAAGTGATTAGCATATAATAGGCCCTCAAAATTATTTCCTGAATGAATCTATTAACAAATGAATGGGTCAGGTTATAGGAAGGAGGCTGAGTGAATGCAGGACTTTTGGGTTCTCTGCTTAGCTCTGTTGCCCGGTGTTAGTGCAACTGACCAGGTGGGGAGGAGGATTCTCTGGGTTTCAGTGCTAATATGTTGACTGTAAAATTATGTAGAGAAGGGAAGACTTTCCCTCTACCCTCTGAGAGTTTGATAACTAGTCTATAAAATATGCTGACAATAGGCAGATTAACAGGAGAAAAGCTATACAAATTTACTATATGCACGGGGGCATTACAGAAAAATGAATGCCTGAAAACCCAGTGAGATCTAGAAGCGTATTTACGCTTTTCATAGAGTTGAGGGAAGGGGCATATGGGCAACTTAGGGGAGAGTAAATAATTTGGGGGAAAGATGAAAGGGCCCTTAGAAGAGTAGATGACAGTTTGTGACAAATTTTGTCTGGGTGTGGTGCTGACTTCTAGTCTTCCTCTCCTGTGATAAGAGTTGATATTCCCTGGTTGATGAAACCCTTGGGCATGGCATTGGTGATAGTTGAGTTCCTTTAGGAGGATCTGTCTTTAGGCAGATAAGGTGAGTTGGGAGAAAGCCTCTGCCTCTACCTAACGTTCCTCGAGTGCCCTCAGTTCAAAGTAATGAGCCTACCGAAGTGGCACATTTTGGAGTGCTGTTTCCTGAACCTCTTCAATGATGAAGTTGGTGTAAATGATCTATAAGCTCTTTCCTAAGTTTAGAATTAATATACCATAATGATCTTACACTATGCTTAGACCTGTCACTTGGGATTTTGATTTTATTGATCTGGCATGGGACCAGGCATACATATTTTTAAAAAGCTCTCCAGGTAATTCTAACATGCAAACAAGGTTGCAAATCACTGAATTATCTGTGATACGCTAAGATGTAATCTGGTAGATTTATATGTACAAATAGATATCTTGGCTCCGGGATTAATAAACATAGAGTATTTGTCACCAACCAGTAAGACTGTGCATATATGATATTTTTAAGTGGTAAAAACTCAGATTATAGTCAAAGCAAAATTTTAGCATTATTACTATTGCTGTTATTTCATTTAGATTGAATCTGTTTAAATGCTCTTTGAAGACTTACTACTAAAGACAAGGCATTGGGCAAATTCCAGGTGGGCCTCCTCATTTCCTTTATTTATCTCCTTACTACTCCCCTCTTTCCATGTAACTGTGCATTCCTTCTTTTGTATTTTTGAAAATGATGCTTATTTAATGCCAAAGGAGTTCCTACAAGTGGGAAACATTGAGATGAAAAATGTGCTTATTTTCTTTGGATAGTCTTTGGCTTACTTGTTTTATTTTTTCACTGCAGGGAAGCAAGGCCTATTAAAGGGGCCTCAAGCTCTTTATGGGTGGGGTGGGATGGGTGGACAGAAGTGGAATCAGAAAGGCATCAGAGTCAAGGCAGTGCAAAGGACTGGCTACTCTCCTCAACTTTTCTTTCTCTCAAGTCACTTACTCCTCTCTGGACAGTTTTCCTCTTTCCACTAGCTTTCTTCAGATCCTTCATAACTTTGGCTTGTATGTGGCTTTCTGCCTGGTCTCTGTTTGATCTCTTTCCTCTGCTCTATTCTGGGCTGTGTGGGCTGAATCATATCAGAATTCCCATGGTCACTAGCTTCCACTGGGTTTGGCTAATGAATGGACCACCAGAGGGCAAGAGGAGAGTGAGAGGTTAGGATATTTCTTCCCCTCACCTTCCCCGTTCCACTTTGTCTCTCTGGTGGTATCTATATCCTTCCTAGACTACAGCTCCTGCCAAAGGGCCCTCTTCCCCATTTCCAGATCTCCCTGAGCTCCAATAACACTATTCCTGCCTCCTGTTCCTTCACACCTGGGGTAGTACTGGCTTCCTGCTATTGCTACTTCTTCCTGTGCCTTTACCATCTTTTGTTGTCTTAACCCTGCCTACTCATCTGCAAATAGTGCTTTATTAAGTGTCTCCCTTTGAACCATTTGTGTGTTCTGTTTCCTGCTGGGACTTTGAAGGACCTGGTGGCCATCGATGGGACCATGTTCTGCAGTTCCTCAGGACCTTTTGATCTAATTCCCACTGCTCACTGGTACCATTTCTCCAGGGTTTCCATTTCAGATCCCCAATATTGAGACTTTGTTTCACCTGGCTTGTTGTTCTTCTTGCTGGGCTGGTCAGTGCTCACTGGGAAAGCCAAGGACCCTCTGCACTTGGGTAAGGTGCCCATTCCTGATCCAGTCAGTGGTTGGAGCGGGAATCCCTTCATACAGAACGTGGCTGCTATGGGGGCTGTGGCCAATGGAATTTGCCTTAAAGGGGGATGTAGGCTGGCAGGGACCAATCAGCACCTGTAGTATGGCTTTAATTCTGCTTTCCCAACATTAATGTAAATTTAACTCTGACTTAGGCTTCTGGCTTTGCTAAATAAAATGATGTATGATTAATTTTTATTTAACTTTAATAAAACTTAAGAATTATTTCCTAGAACCAGAGGTCCTTACCTTTTTTCCTCTATTTCCCACTCTATAGCCCATTTCCCTTTCTCTGTCTTTTTCTTCTTCTTTTGTTATCTTCAGAAAACAGTATTATGTTTCCCTGAGAAGTAATATATGCTATGGGTTGAGGGCTGAGGAAAGGAACCATTCCAATTTCCTTTTTTCAATCACCCCTTTTCAATCCTTTTACAATCACCTATGAAACTTGGTATGCACGGAGTACCGATTCTCACCAAAACAGACCTTCACTGTTGTGATTACAGCATAGTAATCACAGTAAAGAGTTCTGATGTGAGAAATTTATTTATGGCAATCTATAGTACATGTTATATCTTATGATAGTATTTTATTTAATCAAAAAGTTTTTAAAATAATTCATATTTTGCTTCCAGAAAAGTGAAAGGCATGTTAGGAAGATACAAATGAATATAGAATTCATTTTTTGAGCCTCTATTTGTATTTCTTGCATTTATCAATCCACAGATAATACATGACCATAGCAAAAAAAACAGACTGTGCTAAGATTTCAGATATACTATCTTTGTTTTATTTAGAACAGCCAAGAAAGGACCTCCTTTGAAAGAAGATTCCAAAGAATTGTTGAATACATAACATTTTTATATTGATGTCATCAGTTTGAGAGTAAATACTTTTAGGGGCTGAAATATTCCTAGATAGTCAAGCTTGATGTTTTGACTTCGGTCAGAGTCTGAGTGCCTATGTTTTTGATCTTTCATACCCCAAACCATTCTTGATCTGGCATAACACAATGTCACAAAATGTATTACCCATTAATAGAATACAGAATAGTAGAGAAATGGCCACAAGAGTGACTCCTGTTGGTTCCTTTATGAAAAAGACAGTTCTATCAATACATATCTTAATCTGCTTAGTAACAGAATACCTGAGGCTGAGTACTTTATAAAGAAAAGAGGTCTATTTAGCTCACAATTCTGCAGGCTGAGAAGTAGGAGAAGCATGGCACAGGCATCTGCTTGGCTTCTGGTGAGGGCCACGTCCTAGGTCTAAACGTGACATAGAAGGTCAAAAAGGAAGCAGACATGTGAGGAGAGGACAAAACAGAAGGAATCTTGCATTATAACAACCCACTCTCCTGAGAACTAATCCATTCCTGCTAGAACTAATCCAGTCTCACTGGAGCAAGAACTCACTCACTACCTTGAGAATGCCACTGTGATACTGTAAAACATATATTTGGTCTTCTACCCTGACCTCATTTCCTGGCATACAACTCCTAAAATCCTTAAAAACTCCATGATGCTAATGAGTTGACTGGTGGCTGGCAGCCCCTAGGTAGCTCCAGGAGGGGGCTGGTCACTGGAAAGACCCAGGCAGGATTAGAGGGTTGAGACTTTCAACCCCACCTCCACCCTCCAAGGAATGGAGAGAGGCTGAATGTTAAGTTGCTCACCAATGGCCAATGGCTTAATTGTGCCTGTGTAATGAAGCCTCCATAAAAACCCACGGGGCAGGATTAGGAGAGCTTCCAGATAGCTGAACATGTAGAGTTTGCTGGAGGGTGGCATAGCTGTGGAGGGCATGGAAGCTCCACACCCCTTCCTCCATACCTTGCCCTGTGTATCTCTTTATCTGTATCCTTTGTAGTATCGTTTATAATAAACCAGTAGATATAAGTCTTATAGGACCCCAGGTTCATTTGCCTGTTGTGCAGTAATTAGACCAATACACTGAAGTAGCAGGGGTTGCAACAGAAAGAGTTTAATCATCATTGGGAAGCTGAATAAGGGGAGGAACCACTCAAATCTGCCTTCCTAAAGAATTCTGGGCCAAAACATAAATACACAGTTTCAAAATGTAATTTTCATAATATACATATCTTACCATAGTACTTTAAATTTAAACAAATACATGCTAATAATATGAAATATTTGAAAACAATAGCTTTCATTGAAATTCAGTGAGATGCTATTTCCTATGTCTATGCGTTAATATTTTGTACTAAATCTATTAGTTTAAAATCTCCTGTCACATATTTGCAGTTCGTTTTTGTGACTTTTGTAGTAGCAGTCTGATGCAAACCTCAACTATGTATGTAGTAGGAAAGAAGCTGCCATAATTTAGCTTCTTTTCAAACAAGTGGATGAGAAAGTCTTAGCTGGAGCCCAAATCATTTTAATTAGATTGATTAAATCATGCTTTGTCCTTAAAGTCCAATTAACTTTTTTCTTTCTTTCTTTCATTTTTTAATGGGAGACACCACACTGAAATCAATTAACTTTTCCTGAAAATGCTGGCAAATATATTTGACATCTGTTTAAAATCATTCAATCTGGTATTGTAAAATGTTAACAGATCTTTAAATCTAATCATCGTGGCATCCAAATGAGAGCTATATATTTCTGAGTCAGTATCTTTTAATCTATCCTTATGTAAAATAGATTATGGTGCAAAGCCGAAAGCTATAAAAATCTTCATTGAGCAAGTACAATGGATTGAATGTTTGTGTGTCCCTAAAAATTTCAATGTTAAAATCCTATTAGGAGGTGAGCCCTTTGGGAGGCGATTAGGTCATAAGGGTGGAGCCTTCATGAGTGTGATTAGTGCCCTTATAAAAGAGACTCCAGAGAGATTCTTTGCCTCCCTTAGCCACACTAGGACACGGCCAAAAGATGACTGTCTGTGAATCAGAAACTGGGCCCTCACCAGACGTAAAATCTGCTGGCACCTTGATATTGAACTTCCCAGCCTCTAGAACTGTGAGAAATAAATATTTGTTGTTTATAAGCCACCCGATCTGTGGTATTATGTTATAGTGGTTCAAACAGACTAATATGATAAGGTTATTTTGTAAATATTATATCTGTTGATAAAGCCACAGAAATTCCCTTTACTGTAATGAGATTGATCCCCTTTCCTTAAAATGTAAGAAAGACCTCGTTTATGCTGTAGATGTGCCTTAACAGTGGAGAGAGAGTCCTGCCCTCCTCAGCCACTCAGGGATGATAAGGCAACTCCATCTCTGGTGCTAATCTGCAATGTTGACTTCTGATTTCTCCCAGTCCTGGAAATGCCTCTAAGATTTTCATGTACCTACCATACATCGTGCCCCTAGGCAAATTCTTGCCTTTCCCTGAGGGCTCAACTTTGATGGTCCTCCACATTCCTTCCCTAGGATATATATAAGCCCTAGGTCTGGGCATAAGAATGGGAGGATTCCCCATTTCATCTGGCAGCGCCTGGCACATGGCTTCTGTTCATAAGTCCCTCTTAAATGTTTCTTTCTGAGAAACTGGATTTGTCAGCCTCTTTCTTTAGCCTCTCAGCTTCCTCCGCCTTTGGGATTAGGTTTGCACAGACCTGCCCACCTTGGAGCACCACACCATAGCATTAGCAATAGGAGGGAGGCTGATGTCTCCCACCTCCTGCTGTGAGGTGATGTGAAGTGAGAGCATCATGTATGACATATTCTCATCAAAACATTTGAAAGTGAATCTACCTAAGTCTATAGAACTCATTTCATGCTTATAGGGAATAGAGGAAGGAATATGTTAAACAGCACCATGAAGAGACAATCAGAAAAATCCAGAATGTGGAAATTCTAAAAGACAACTGGCCCAGTAGAGAAAAGTCAATGATATGAAAATGACAAAAAAAAAAAAAGATAGGGTCAAGATATTTTATAAATTAAGAAGGAGTGAGCCGGGTGCGGTGGCTCACGCCTGTAATCCTAGCACTCTGGGAGGCTGAGGCGGGCGGATTGTTTGAGCTCAGGAGTTTGAAACCAGCCTGGGCAAGAGTGAGACCCCATCTCTACTAAAAATAGAAAGAAATTAATTGGGCAGCTAAAAATATATAGAAAAAATTAGCCAGGCATGGTGGCGCATGCCTGTAGTCCCAGCTACTTGGGAGGCTGAGGCAGGAGGATCGCTTGAGCCCAGGAGTCTGAGGTTGCTGTGAGCTAGGCTGACGCCACGGCACTCACTCTAGCCAGGGCAACAAAGTGAGACTCGGTCTCAAAAAAAAAAAAAAAAAAAAAATTAAGAAGGAGTAAAAAGTCATAACACAAAAATACAATGCACGAAACTTGATTGGATCCTAGTTAACAACAATACTGAAACCCACAATTATAAAAGGTATTTGGGGGATGGAGACAAACCGAGTATTAGCTGACATTAGATAATGATTCTGAATTTTTTAAGTGTAATAACAACATTGTGGTTATTTAAGAAAATGTCCTTATATTTAGGAGACTCATGATTAAGAACTTAGGGGTGAAGTAGCATGATAACTACATTTTATTTTGAAATGTTTTAACCAAAATATACATATGTATAAGGAAGCAGTTATGGGAAAATACTTACAATAGCTGAATCTAGGTCTTTCGACTCTTCTGTGTATTTGAAAATAAACATATTAATATATAAAATATAAATTTAAATAATTATAACTTGAGGCCCAGCATGGTTGCTCTCATACATGTAATGCTAGCACTTTGGGAGGCCAAAGTGGGAGGATCACTTGAGGCCAGGCGTTCAAGACCAGCCTGGGCAACATAGTAAGACACCATCTCTACAAAAATAGAAAAATTATTGATATCTGGGCATGGTGGTGTGTGCCTGTGGTCCCAGCTACTTGGGAAGCTGAAGCAGGAGGGTTGCTTGAGCCCGGGAGTTTGAGGTTGTTGTGGGCTATGATGACACCACTGCACTCTAGCCTGGGTGACAGAATAAAAGTTGCTGATGAATAATAAAATGACTTGTTAAAACACCTGGTACCTCTTTTTAAAGTTGACTCTAAACTTATTGGTGCTCCATCTGTTAAATAAGCAATGATGTTGGAAAAGGGTTATTTTTCACTTTAGTTAATTTTAAGGGTTTAAAATATTGACAATTCTTTTGTATGCATTGGCAGTAATTTTGAACATAATGTTTTCTGTACAACTTTTCTGTCCTTGGAAACTTTATATATGCAAACATTAAAGCTTTATGATTATACAGGATACTTTTGCCCACTTATAATCAAGATCATTTGTCACCAGTTTGCAGGAGAGTTGTAAA